ATCAATAAACCTAAGAGTTAAAAAAAAAACACATGATCTACAGAGATGTTGTGAGAGCCTTTGACAAAATTTAGTAACTCTTTATGAAAAAAAAACCCAAGAACATAGGAACTGAGGATAATGTCTGAGCATGATAAACTAACATCCTATTTCATAGGGAAGTGTGAGAGGTATTTTCCCTAAGATAAGGAACAAGGATGTCCACCATCTCTACTAGTCTTCTACATTGCACTAGAGATGTCAGCCAATGCAATAAAGCAAGTCATATGAACTGATAAAGAATGCTGCATATGACTGTGAAGATTGCTTGGGCTAAGTTAACAAGACTGCCCAAGAAGGCTCACAATAAATACTAGTCATGACTTTTTTAAAGTGATAACTTGAGGTAAATATTTTAGTTCCTTATGAGCACCTATGGTGTATTTTCTTCACCTTGCCATATTCCATACCTCAAGTGAACAGTCTTGTTATGACAGAAGCCAAAGATATATGCTAAAATTCTGCCATTTTCAGGTTGTGTGACCTTAAGCAAATCAGCTTCCCTCTCTGAATGAGGAGTTCTTCATCTACAAAACAAGGAAGCAGTTCTCCCTGTTTGATACCTCTGATATTGTTTATGACTGCTGTGGACAACTTGCTTGCCTCCTCCAAACAGACCTGGAAGCAGTAGCAGAAATAGCTCACTAACAGAGCAGAAAAATCCCAGCAACTCTCTTTGCTCAGAATTCTCCCCTGCCTAATGTGTCTGACTTTGCAAGGCAAATTTATGCATAATATCTAAAAGACACTGGAAAAGCCTCCACAGACTTGGAACCTACAGTTAATTGGTCATGACCAAATTCATCCTGAATTTGGCTCTAGCTCCTTCATTAGGGCAAACCACAAGAGATCTTGCCAGTCATTGGGATAAAAAGAGTACCCTGCTGAGAAGCAACAAGCCTGGGGCAAGAGATAATGTGGTGAGAGCTTCCCACTCACAATGTTACTGGATCTGGGTCACCAGGTCAGAGGCCAGAAGGTCCTTGGTCTCATTAGAAAAAGAATTCAAGTACAATACAAAGGACAACTAAGCAGGACCAGGCTTACTAATGCAAAGCAAAGTGAGAGTGCACTCTTGAGTGAGGAGGTGGGTAGGTTAAGAAGGAGGCTACACTGAGGTCCCACGAACTCAAGCTTTTTTTTTTTTTTTTTTTTCACATGGAGGTGGTTATTCCTGAAAACTGGGTTATATGTCATTAACTCCTCCCACACATTGGGCAGGGAAGGTTTAGGCCTTGCATGGTCAGACCTGGGCTTTTCATTTTCTGTGGGCTGCAGGTCAGCAAGACTCTGCTGTGTGTCACAGTCATTCTGTTAACATCATTAAAAATCAACATCCAAGCCATTGTTCTCAGCCATCAGGTTTCCTAACTCCCTACACAAGCCCTATGTCAAGAAGAGGAGTATAAAAATTTCAGATTCTGTTAGATTCCCTGGGCCAAACTGAGTCTCTGATGTTCTCCCCTCACCTGCTTAGTCTTAGCAAGACATTCCCTACCCTGGAGATCTGATGGAATTCCTTATTCTTCACCTGGATATCCTGTCATCATGGCTTGTCTCTATAAGGATTCTTTTGAGTTGGTCAGCCAAGAGTTGTCCTAGGGCTAGGATGTGGTTAGTGGTAGAGCACTCACCTGGTGTGAATAAGTCCCTGAGTTCTCACCTGTTCCACAAACAAACAAAAAACTAGCCTTAGTCTTGTATTTTTCTATCCCCTGACCTCATCCTTGCTCCTTGGTGTAAATCTCCACTTGTCCTTGTAGTCAAGATTGACTACTGACCAAGATTCAGTAGTCCCTTCCTGAATAAAGTCTTCTTCACTGTCTTTAACAAGTATCATGAACAGCTTTTCTTCAAGAAGTCCCAAGATGGTGCCTAACAGGCTGCCACAAACCTAGGTCTATAGGGCATTGGGACCAGTTTCATATTCAGGGATGAGGGTCCCTTCTTGCCCGCCTTCTGATAAGCCAGACCTAGGCCCACTGGTCTCCACCGCCATTTTGGCGGCTCTGCCCCAGCAGGCCTGGGGGCTATTCAGCAGCAGCTTTGCATTTCTTATTTGCTTTTTTGTATGTCTCTCTCTACTTGCTTAGCATCTGGCCCACGGCCTGAGATTCTGTAGCTCCATAAATACCTGTTGAATGAATGAGAGGAGAACAGAAGAAATGTGGTGTCTTTGGGTGCCAGGCTTGGCTCCCTTGCAGAGGCCCTGAGGAGAACAGCATGTAAACAAAGATGGCCTCGTTGGGGCACTTTCTCTGGCCCCCTGGATTGCTCTCCTGGGCAGCCAGCAGAGCCCTGGGGGGAGGTGGAGCTGGGTTCCTTTGTTCTGCTTCCAGGATTCCTCTCCTGCTGGGTGGGGAGGCCTGGCAGCAGAGCCCTCTTCCTAACCCTGTGGGACTCACAAAACACTGGACTTGGACACCATAGGCCTCTGTGAGGAACCACCTCAGCTCATGGACAGACAGGAGGCAACAAAGGGAGAGGCATCTGCCCACCTGCTCCCTCACAGGCCTCCTCTTCAACATCCCCAGCCCCTGCCACACAGAACAGGCTCAAAGGAAACTGGGAGGCTCAGATTGGAGTGGGTCCCAGATCAGCACTGACCTTGAGTGGGCCACAGCCAAGGTTAAGTTTAGAAAACAAGGGGAAGAGTTTTGAGAAGTTAACTGATAAAGTACTTTTATGAGAATTGAATTAAATAATTTTAAAAAGGCTTTGGGTGAATTAAAAAGCTAAAGATATTTAAGCTTAAGATATTTCCTTAAGGCAGAACCTTAAGGAAAAGAAGCCAGTCTAAAATGACTGCAGACTGTGACTGCAACTGCATGACAATTTGGAAAAAGAATTACAGAAATAGCAAAAAGATCAGTGGTTGCTAGGGGCAGGGGAGAGGTAAGAAGGAATAGTTGGAACAAAGACAGGTTTTTTTTGTTTGTTTGTTTGTTTGAGACAACATCTGGCATTTTAGCCCAAACTCACATGCAGCTCAGGCTGGCCTTGAACTTGTGATCCTCTCTGCCTCCACCTCCTGAGTGCTGGGATTACAGACATGCACCACCATGCCCAGCCACAAAAGGAGGTTTTTAGGACAGTGAAACTATCCTGTGTGATATTATAATGGTGGGTACCTGTCATTATCCATTTTTCCACACTCCTAGAATAAACAAAAGTGAATGCTAATGTACACTGTGGACTTGGAGTGATAATGATGGGTCCAGACAGGTCTATCAGTTGAGATGAAATGGAGAGGTTATACATATGAAGGGAGCAGAGGACACATTGGGAAATTTTTGTAACTTCCTCTCAATTTTACTGTAAGCCTACAACTGCTCTAAAAGTATAATCTATTCAAAAGAGGGCTGTGAGTTTTATATGTCATTTTTGTTATTATTATTTCATTTTCCTACTAAGTCAGTTTACTACAATTTACCAAAGTTTTTGGTCAACAACAGACTGAAGGAAAAGAATGATTCCTTCACCCCAAATAATCTGAAAGCTTCCACCTAGACTAATAGCCCTGGTCCAGGAGCCAGAAGTGCTGGCCCCCTGCCTCTGCTCCACTCTTACTTGATGCTGTGCCTCAGTTTCCTTACCTGCAAATTGAGAAGGGAGTGACCAATTCTCATTCTGGCTTGGGTGGCTAGAATGGAGCCAAGGCAGTCTGTGGTCTGATGAAGCAAACAGGAAGTACTAACCACTTTCTCCCAGAAACACGAAATGGAACTACCACCATTTGGGAAGTTGTGAAGAATGGAGTGATTTCTGGAGTCAGATTGCTTGGGTGTGAATGTCAGCTCTATACCTTAGCTTCTGCTTGACCTTGTGCAAGTCATGGAACCTCAGTATCCTCATCTGTAAAGTGGGGACAATAACAGATCCCACCACACAGGCTGTAGTGTGCAAAACTGAGAGTGTGAATAATGCCCTTAGCATAGTACCTGGTACACAGTGGTGCCCAGTCAGAATCACCATTCCACGTGGCCTCTTTATCCAGCTCCTCACTTCCTCTGGTATCTGACCTATTCTCCATGCAGCATGTTGATGTTTTTCCGGATTTTTTTTTTTTTCCCTTTTTGTGGTATTGAGGTAGGTTAAAATTAGGAAAAGTTTGGGACTGAGACCACTCCCGGTCTTGCCTTAAGAGCTATATTTTAATTACAATAAGTTAGAAAGAATGGGAACCTCCTCTGTCATAGGTGGAGCGCCCCAGAATTAACATAGGTGTATACAGAAGTCTGCCCAGCTCCTCCCCTTGATTCAAAGGTCAATGGAACCAAGTAACGATACGCCCTCACCTGGCCCAGGAACCGCCCCTCCCACCCATTGATTATTGGATGAAAGTCACTTGGTTCCTCCCTTGCCATAGGTTAGCATAGGTTTTAAAAGCACCTGGAGAAGAGACGCACACGCTCTCTGCCTCCACCTGGGTCCTGCCATGCTCCCTTTTGTATTTCCCTTCCCTAGCTTTTAATAAATTCCATTTACACCCACGTGTCCTGCCATGGATTCTTTCCCATGGGACACACAGAACTTGGAAGTCTTCTGATCACAGACAACACCACGCTGCCAACAGTGCTGAGGTTTGAACTCAGGGCTCACTCTTGCTAGGCAGACGCTCCTCCATTTGAGCCACTCCACCAGCCCAGCAAGGTGATGTTTTGAAAATACAGTTAAACCCACCAGCATCCAGCTATTGGAAAGCCCATGGTATCTCACTGTTAGCACAGAATGCAGCCCACCAGCCTCCGCCCACCTCTGCCCTGACTCAGGACTGTTTACCTCTACTGCTCTTGACCTCTCCCTCTACCTGGAACATTCTTCTCTGACCCTCAACAAAGTCAAGGCCCAGCTCAAATGTCATTTCCTCTAAGAGGCTCTCCTTAACCACCCCTTCCTTCTCAGCACTAATCCCTAGGCTGTAATTGCTTTATTGATTTATTGTTCGTGGCCCCACCAGGAATGCAGCCCCACAGAGCCATTCAGCCTAGCCCTTGTATGAAGGGCGCATTGTTAGTCACAGGGTTCAGGTGCTTTGGAGAGGAGCTGGTTTGGCAGCCTGCCCCAGGGAACCTGACCACAGCCGTTCTGAGCTCCAAACCTGTAAAGTCAGGGCCGGCCACCGGCACACACAAAATACTACACAGCGAGCAGCCCAGAGATCCAAAGTAAACATTTTATTCTCCCTTCTGCCTCAGGTGCTCTAGTTTTGCAAGCACGAATAAATGGAATCAACAATAATCCTCTCCCTAAACAGCTTTCATTGACAAATTTCCGGTTTTTTCTAAAGAGGGTGGGATTGGAGGGTAACCTGAATGGGCTTGGGGACTGCGATCACATGGGGGATAACCATCCTGTCTTGTGCCACTTCCTCTCTGAGCAGCTATAAACAGCAGCCCAGCAGCTCTGTCCTTCCCGTGAGGGAAAGAACTTGGCAGCACCCAGAGCCAAGAGGCCTGGGGCCGGCAAAGGATCAGTAGCCCAGTTTCTGCCCATACGGGGACATGTGTCCCTCAGAAATGCTGGGAGACCCAGCAGAGGAAAGAGATCTCACTGCCTTCACCTCCAATTCGATGCCTCCAACCCCCAAAGGGGCCTGGGAGAACCTAAGCCTTCACCCTGGAGTGACCTCGGTCAGCAAAAAAGGGAGCCAAAGAGAGGGAGTGCACCTCTTCTGGAGGAGTTCCCAGACAGGGACCCCAACTCCCAGCCAGTAAACAGCACACTTCTCCCTTGGACTGGGATCACAGGACGGTCTCCCGGACGACACCAATGAGGCTGTGTGGCCGCTCAGCCTCCGCTCGCCGGGGCCTCCTCTCCACGCTCGGCCTTCCCACGGGAGCAAAGGTGCTCAGGTCGCCGCAGCTCCACAGGTGCAGCAAGCCAGGCTGTCTCCGAGAGGGTGCAGTGTGGGCCCAGGAAGTGCTGGGCTGGGAAGGGGCCATTATCTGTAGGAGAATAGGGAGGGGGTGGGAGAGTAAGTTTTGCCAGATGTGGCCCTGTGACCTGCCTCCTGAATCTAACCTTGTATTTTAATTTCCAATGGTTTCAGAAAAGAGAAAAAGATGCTTTCCCCCAGTAAAACATATCTCTTGGATTCCAGAGATGCTTTTAACAACATATAGCCTCTTTTCTAAAGTTCAGAAAAATTCTGCCAAATTTTCTATTGTTTCAATTGTATATCTGTCATATTTAATCAACTGGTCAACTGCACTTCCTTGCTTTATATTTGACATCGTTCTCATCCTTTTTTCCCCAATTTCCCTATCTTCTAAGCCAGGGTTCCCATTACGAGAGAGTAGGCGGTGGGGACTTGTTAGAAATATCAATTCTCACCTGCCACCAATTTCAACAGTCTGGAGGGGAGCTTGAACATCAGTAGTTTTAACAACAATTCAGGTGATACCGATGCACTTGAAAATTTGAGAACCATTGGTCTGGTCAGGTAATGAGTTTATAAAATGTCAACAAAGACCAGTGATATTTCAGATGGATCTGATAACCTTTCAATAAACAACTTAAAAAAGTAGGACAGCAGATTCGTAAAAACTGTTTAAGAATGTTTTCTGCTAGATCTGATTTGCAATGTGTCACATATATAACTTTAAGTACAGAACATCATTACTTTGTAAAAATGGCAAAAATATGGGAAATTCCTAACCAAATGGGATTGATGAAGCAAGGACTATCCAGTTAATGTAATTTTGGGATATTGCACACCAGGTCTCTAAGACTGATACTGTTAGTTCCTTGGGAAAGACTCAGGAGTCTTCCTGCCCCTAATATCACAGAACAATCATTCCAATGACTTTCTGACTTTGTTTCATTTGTACTATTCTGAGCTTTTAAGGTCATTGAAGTGTTAATCTTTTCAAAAGATGGAATATTAAATTTTGCTAACATTCTATTAATTACATTTGTCTTTAAGGCCTGACCTTGCTTCCTGATTAAGAAGAAAATTTTACTTTTAGAATGCAGTTTCTTGCTTGCTGTGGACATGACCATAAAAAAATCTTTCCACTAAGTTCTCTATATGCTACTTTGTTAGCAATCAAACTTTTGGGGACACTACTGCCCAGCAGAAATAACCATGCAAACCACAGGATTTTTCTAATGGCTACTTCATTGCTAATGAGATTTTGTGACAGCCAAATATTTGGTAACATTGCAACATTTGCAGTTGTACATCTTTCTTGGTTATGTTGTGTTCATCTCTTGTGTTTTTGTCATGTAGGACAACTGGATTAAGCAGCTTTTAAGGAGGGCTATCTTGGAAGAAAAATCAGCTTTAGAGGTGACCCTGATGTGCAGTTAACCAATCAAAACATGTAGCAAATTCTTTTTGTAAAATTATTAAATAAAAATTTATTGACACTTAAAGAAGAAAGTTTTAATATTCATTAAACTTGTGTTACAAGGTAAGTTAGCACTGGGACTTTTGATATGACGGAAAATTAAAATAGATTTAAAAACTCACTCTAGTGACACTAAAGAAAGTAAGAATTCAAAGCTGGTCGCCTTCCATTGTCCTTGCCTCCTTTTGTCTGGGGAAGGGTGTGGTATTATGATAACTGATCTTGTGGGATTCAGAACTGATCAATAGCCCAGAGTCTGTCACAGTAATCTGAGCACTTAAACTTTCAACCAGTCCAGACATGAAGATCTAGCAAACATTTATAAGGATAGTATCTATTGGACTGCCAGTGCCTGGCTTTCCCCTAGAGCTATTCCCCAGGGAGCAGACCAACTGTCTCTGGGATGTTCCAGCTCTTTCCTCATCAGAGCTTGGTGGCCATTGAGAAGTGGCTCCAAATGCTTCCTTTTGGAGACAGTGGGGTTAGACAGAGGGAAGCGGGTGGGGGATGACAACTGGAGTAGGTCAGAAACACCGGGATGTAAACATCTCCCTTACACAGACGACTCGACGGAGCCTGACCTAGCACCACTGACTCATGGCTCTTCTAGACAGTGAGCCACAGAGGGTCTGTAGTTTAAGTGCCTCTTCCAGAAAGTAATCAGATCTGTCTTCTCCCTTGGGTCCCCTGTGGGACTGGGAGAGAAGCTGGCTTCTGGCTTTGGTAAGATGAGGCCAGCAGGAGTAAAGGGGAACAGAATGGAAAGTGAGGAGGTGGTTTAGTCAATCCACCTGAAAAATCCAGCTAGGGTCCTGGAGTGGGAGTACCCTGAGAATCAACCCAGATCAACTTAAGATGTATTTGTTAGGCACCTATTGCACAAAGGCACACAGCCAGGTGCCATTGTGCACTGAGGTCTACAACGGCCACCCACTAACCCAGAGGAATGGGGTAAACACCTAAAAGGGCACAGATGTTGAAAGGGTGGCCAGAAAGTTCCTACCAGAAGGAAATTCCAGTCACTCAGAGACATAGGGATAGAGACCAGCTAGCCCAACTCTTCCCTTGAAAGATGAGAAACCTGAGACCCAAATGGCCTGGGTGGTTTCAGTTTAGGGGACTGACTGCCTTTTACGTTTTAATCTTTGGAAAGGAAAAGGTGTTTGGTCCTTTAAATCCTATTGACTTATTTATCTTGCCAAGCAATTTATGGGAACATCAACAGCTCCCAGAATCTTTCCAATATTAAGATTCACCTATGTCATCCTTTTCGAAGGGCTGAGAAAGCATGCCACATCGGGGAAAGCCTGCAATTCAAGAAATCAAATATTGAAAGACTCCACACTGCTCACATCCTTTGTTTTTTTTTTTCTAGGCAATGCTTCCCCATCCCAGAAAACGGGATTCTCTTTTGGGCCAAGAGCACTGTGGAAAAGTTACCACACCTGGAAGGAAATCTGTCTGTAGCTTCCTCTCTCCCCGTCCCCTGACCTCATAACCCCAGTTCCCTTGAAACCATGACCACGAGCTTCCTCTGCTTAAACAAGAAATGGGAGAAACCATTTCAGCTGCTATGGAAACAGTTATCAGACTCATGCCTGGTATTAATGATAAAACTACCTGTTCTAGGAAACTGGCACTTGTGATGGCTTCCTCCATGTGCTCCTCGTCAGACTTCAAAACAGATTTAATATTTTCTACAAGTTCATGGATGTCTGGGGTCATGCTGCAGGAGGATTGCTCCAGGAACCTGGCTACCAGTAGCTTGGTGTCTATGTAAGACTTGTAATCTATTAAAGAGCGAGGTCTGCATCTTGATGCTCTTGGTCTCATGCCTCTCCTCAGAGTCACAGCAGCCAGGTCCAGTCTCCTTTCAGTCTGAGTCGCAGCTTCACAACTGAGCACTGGGGTGGCTATGGGCAGAGACAAACATCATGTACCCATTGGCCTAGAGCCTTTGAACACAGATCACAAAACACAGTGTAGAAAGCATCTGAAAGACACCAGTAGCCATGCATGCATGCATGTATTGCTTTTCATCTCACAGAAAGAAAAGGAAAGATAGAACTATGACACAAGCCTATTTCCTGAAGTGCATTTCCAATAGGCTACATCCCAAACCATTTAACTGTGTCACATAAAACACAATCCCAAAGTAAAGACAGATGATAGAGTATAGAACTCAGAACACAAACCGTAACAGAGCATGGGGTATGGTAGATAGCTGGGAATGAATGGGCACGCAGAAAAAACATGGCTGACCAATGAAATTATGTTCCAAGGAGGGGAGGATGAAGGAGCCAGTGAAAGAGGAAGGGGCAGAAGAGAGACAAGACTTGTTGATGAATGTAATGCTGTGTTTACTTTCACTGTACCTTTGTCCTAAATATCCTCAAGGGCATTGTACTGACTTCTCTTACCGAGGCTCACACCATGGCCATGAGGTAGATCTATGGCTGACTATTACAAAAAATTTAGGTGCAGAAAAATTACATCATTCCAGAAGTCCACAGAGGGCCTCATAAATCACCACAGGCTCTAATTTCCATGGCTACCTCCATCCGTAAGGGTATAAAGACCAGCAGAGTGTCACTGCACCGTGAAGTGGGTGAAGTAAAACTCGAGTCCACAACCACCAGCAGCCTTCACTGCTTCACACCGGGGACTTCAGCCTGTGAAGGCCTGACAGGTGGGAATTTAGATACTCAAGGAAGACAGGAAGCAGAGGGTGGAAGACAGGTGAAGGAAGGGTAGGCTCCTTTCCTCTGGAGAAAGGTAGGCATGAGAAGCTCTATACCATGGTTACAGGCTATCCTCCCAGGCTGTTATAGAAAGCCAGAGTCTTCCAGTAACACATGCTAAAGTAACACACTAATGTGTGAGGACAGAGTCGGAGTCATTCACTCTCATTCACTGAAGGTAACCTGGTGCCTTTCACAAGAAAGTGATCCAACAGGTACTGCTTGTTGTCCTTGCGCCTACAAGGTTGCAGCGTGGGAGGGGTTTCAGAAAGATCTCCCTTAGCCGTGCAACAGCTAAGTTCTCACGGAAGCCAATGGCCAGTTCAAGCCTTCAGCTTGCCCGGCAGAGTACAGGAGACCCACAGAGAAGGGAGGCCTCAGAATCAGGCTGCCCAGCCACAGAGCTGCAGGAGCACAGAGTTCAGTCCCACGCACTGGGACTTCCTCAGCACTCAGAAGCCACTGCAGAGATAAGAGGAGTGTTCTCTGTGGCTCCCACATGACTCGTCAGTCCAGAGCTGTGGCAAATGACACACACCGTCAGAGGGACAGGACAGAGACCGAAAAGGCTCAGACAGGACCCGAGAGAGAGCAGGTCAGAGGATGTCCAAAGTTGAAACTGCTTAGAGCTTCAGAATCGCAGAGGCCCACTACTAGGATAGTTCCCCAAAAGAAGAGATAGTTGGAGAGATTCAGTTTTTCATAAATATATTCAGAAAAACAATCAGTGTTATTATTTACAATTTTAACTTACTTAACGTCTATATATAGGCAAAACTCAAAACAGAGGGGAAGATGCAGGTATGTGCGTGTATATGCTTCACTCTCTCCAAAGTCCTTAAAACAAGGTCAGATTTCAATAATTCAGTCTACTCACACACAGTGAAAAAGGGTAACACATATTAAGGTATAGAAGAGGGGGGGGTTAAAAAAAAACAACCAACCAAATCACCCCTTTGACTTATTCCCCCACGATGGCAAGCAAGTAAAATCAGACTTAGGTTCCTGTAATTTTCTCCCTATAGTGTCTACCACAGTGTCATGCAACCAAATGCTCCTGATGCCAATGTCGTTAAAAAAAAAAAATTCTGCCAGCTTTAAAGGGAGTGTACACTGCCTCATTTTCCCAAGACCCCTTAACCACCTCTGAGGTATACCTTAAACTTGCAGGGCCCTCAGCTGGCCAGAGTCACCGGCTTTCGCCTGGCACCGTTAGATAAATAAGCACAGTGGTCTGCAAAGAGTTGGTCAATGACATCACCTCTCTCCTCAGAATGGCAGAGCACAGGGTCACTCTTTGATCTTGTCCTGAGGGGCGGGAGGGCTCTCCGGCTTCTGGAAGGAGGCACCGGGTTTGAACTGGGAGTCAATACAGATGTGCTTTCTTCGACAGGTGTGTTAGAAATGTCCTCACCTGATTTTTTGTAAATAGGAGAAGCAAAAGTTATTTCGGCAGCTGCAGCCTTCAAAATGTTGGGCAGGAAACACCTGTGAGCCCAAGCCTGCTAGGGCAAGAGTAATATAGTCAATTACATTTACTTGGGCAGCAAGCCCAGAAAGTTTTTATTTCCCAGCACGATGGGAAAACCTGCTTCTCCAAATCAGCCCACCACACCTAGAACGAACAAACAAAAAACTTTAAGCCCGAGGGCAAAAATAAAGAAACCATGCCAGAATATCACAGACTATGGCTCGGCCTGGGAAACTCCCAGATGACCTAGTTCAGGAGCCAGTGACTGCTAAACCCTTCTGGAACTGGATGACTCCTGCTCAGGAAATAAAATCCCATCATTTGAGAGCCTGGGTCGTAGTTCAGAAAACCCTTTGTAAAAACGGAAGACTTATGAGATACTTAGGATACTGAATGCTGCTTCATAGTTCTACTCAAGACAGACAGTAGACCTAGGGATAGAGCTCAGTAGTAGGACATGTGGTTAGCACAAAAAAAAAAAAAAAAAGGAGAGTGAACAGAAACCCATTCTAAATGGTACTGTTGAAAAATTACCTCCATCTAAAATAGCTAAAAGTTGATCCATTATTTATTACCATTTGCAATTTTGTGCTGGTAGACAATTTTCTGGGCCATTTAAAACCTCCCCAAAGAGAGAAAGCTATAGCAACAATATCCTTAAATTACAAGGATGAATGTAAATTGACTCTAGTTTTACCACAGGACTGAAAATCAAAACTCCCTAGAGGTTAAGGGTAACGACCCAATGGGATCCCACAGCAAACCACCCTGCAAGAAATGAAACTTATTTTCTTTCAAAGGACTCAAGCTTATTTTAATAGAACAATGACAATCATAGATTCGAAAACAGGAATAACAAACTACTTCATAGGTTCCTGAAAATAGTCTGATTAGTCCTAAAAGAGTCTTTTTGTTGTTCTTCACATTTTTTTATCTCCCACTTAGAAGACCTAATAGTTGAGAGCATTTTTGCACCCGGCAAGAAGGACATGTAGGTTGGAACATTTCCTCCGAGAATATCTGCCCTCCAACAGCCAAATCTTTTTCTTTTTTTTTTTACCCTGTTTTAAATCTGCCAAATCATGACTTTGGGAATGAAGGCAAGTCTGTTACCTTGAGTCACTTGTATACAAACTGGTTCCGATGGACTTGCAGCAGCTTCCGTTCCTTCGGGCATTTGGAATGAAGATCCCTACATCACAAGGGAAGGGGAAAAGAGGGCAATTTTGTTGATGTTCAACTAACTGCTCGTGGGACCCCAGTAAACTTAAAATAATGTGTGGGACCATCTCCCCATTGCCCTTTGTGAGATGTACCATGTTCCCCGCCTGCAGTCAATATACTAAAAAGAAGGTGTGAACATACCTGCTCCTGGTCCATCTGGCTCACCACAGCTTCATATGGAGGTGGGGGGTCCAGAGGACAGAACACTTCCACACCTTTGATTCGAGCTCCATAGATGTGCGGCAGTGGAATGATATCAGAACCAATCATCCTAGAAAGAGCATCTTAGTATCAAGAAGCACGTTCTGCATGCTGGGCCTCGGACTATAGAGGCTTGGGACACTGGCCTTTGCCTCTAGACTGGGGAAACCACTCAGTCCCCCATGTGACAGTGGCCCAGGCAGGAGAGGGAGAACAATCTAAGCTGCCCTCCGATGACACGCCCAGATTTCCTTAAGCAAGTGCCAGTGCATAAAATGTAATGTCATCAATGTTTTTAAGTTCATCAGTCAAAAAGCAAACAATTCACAGAAACAAAAAACAGATGGATGGTGGGCACGGACTGCAGTGGCAAGGGGAGTGCTGTTTATTGGATATATGGCATTTCTTGAGAGGTGACAAAAATGCTTTGGAAGGTGATGCTGCACAATATTTTGATGGTAGTAAACACCTTTGAATTGTATGCTTCGAAAGGGTTAATTTCATGCTATGTGAATTTCACCTCAATTTCAAAACAGTGATAACAACAAATAAGGACTCTGGGAAACTCAACTATTAATTGTATTAGCACATGACAACAGTTTCTTCCCTAATGCCTAGTAACAATTCACTCCTTCTTATATAAACATTTGACAGGATGAGTTAACTTAAAACAAAAGGTGAGCCAGGTACTGGTGGCTCACGCCTATAATCCTAACTACTCAGGAAGCAGAGATCAGGAGGTTCTCAGTTTGAGGCCAGCCCAGGAAATAGTTCCTGAGACCTTATCTCAAAAAAAAAAGGGGGCTGGTGGAGTGACTCAGTGAGGGTCCTGAGTTCAAGCTCCAGTACCGCAAAAAAAAAAAAAAAAAAAGGTGAACAGTGCCACAGCTCAAGACACAGCAGCCAGCTGGAGGTCTCACAGTGTAACCTCTTAGGGTGGGTTCTCCACCAACACTTATACTGACACCTGCTCAATGCCAGGCTCAGTGGCAGGTGCTGGGGATTGAATACAGTTTTGAAAACAGAGCCATATTAAGGAGAATAGTAGGTGAGGGAGCCCAGCAGAAACCAGAAGAGCTTCTCAGGTATGACTGCCTGAAATGGTTGACCCACAGAATTGGGTCAGCTGAATAAATGGCTGAGATTTTAAGTGCCTGCACCCCAAAGAAGGGAATAATGGAGGCAGGAGGGAGTAGATAGATAAAGATTGGTCATCTGTTTTCTCCTAAACTTGTTATAACAAACATAGCCAAGAAAGAGAAGAAACTAGAAAATGAAAAAATTAAATTTTAAAATAACTACGGTTATCATTGTTATTGGTGGTATTAGGACTTGAACTCTCTGAATTTAAAACTTTCATTTTATTCCTTGTGCCCATTGGTAAAATGTGGTTGGTGGAAGAAAAAAACATGTAAAATGAGGTGATATTCTTTCTTCCTGAAGATGAAACATTCCTTCTACAGGAATGACATTCTGTAGCCTATGGGTCTATTCATAAATAAGACTCCACTCCCTGCCTGACCTGAAAGTTGGGGATGATGGTTATATAATACATCAAACATCAGTCTGCAGAAGGCACCAGTGTGAAGGTCCCTCCCTGAGCTCCCTCCTTGAGCTGGTTGGAAGGGGTCCTGACAATGCTGTCCGGAAAAGATATTTTCCCTTAGACCAGGACTTGTATGTAGGGTTCATTCCAACTCTCCTACCCAACTGAAACTGTCTAAGAATTATAAATGCTGCCAATATAAATGCCAAGAAGCCTAGCCCTTCCTAGATCTAACTGGAGGTTTTCCTGACCAATGAACTACCTTGTTTTAAACAAGGAGACCCATGTACCCCCCCAGGTGGCCAGTCTTCAACCCTTAATTAGCACAGCCCCATAAGCCATCTTTCCAGAACTTTCAAACCCTTGTCTGTTCCCCCTTAGCAAAGGACACATGCTGAGGACCGCTGGGAAGTTACCACCACCAGCTTTGCTCTGCTGTCTTTGACATTCCCAGACGCTACCTACTCGAGAGGAGGGCCTACCGAGGGCTGAAAGGTCAGAACAGGCTTCTTCTGTCTGAGATCCAACACTAGGGCAGAATCTCTTCCAGAAGAAAAATGTAGGGTGGAGGGGACACACTTTATCCAACTTGATCACAAAATGAGTGACTTCTACAGTGGTTATTATCATGGCTGGAAAAGTTTTGTTTGGGTAAAAAATGCTGCAGAGGTGGTGCAGAAGGAACGTTCCTTTCCCACTAAGCAACTTCTTACTTTACCTCGCTTGGGTAAATATTCAGGGAGGCAAACAGGTCAGGAATTTACTGGCAGGTTGTTTTTTGCTCTGATTGCTTAGGCCTCTCAATCCTAGTGATGGAGTAGAATCAGCTTGGGGGTTTCTAAAACTATGGATGGCCCAAGCCTCGCCTCTAGAAAGTCTGCTCTAACTGCCTGGGGTGGGCCTAGGCATCTGTCTGTGTTCAGGAATGAGTCTGTCTCTGGGTGACTCCAATGCACAGTTAGATTAAGCACCACTGCATGAAATCTGGTGGTTCAAATTAAAGCCCTGCTCTAGCTGAGAATGTAAGTTGGATTTTTATTAAGAATGGGGGGGTCTTAGAAAGCTGCTGAGACCTAAAAAATAATAATAAAAATAATAATATGACGTGAATGTAAAAGGGAGACTTGGGGTCAGAGGAATCAGTCTGATGGGACAGGGGAACAGGGCAGGGTGAGGGAGTGAATGTGATCAAAGTTCATTTTATAGATATATATCTATCATAATGAAAACTACTAAAAACTAAAGAAAAGAAAGGGGAGACTAAAAGGGGTAAGAGAAAGCAATAGAGAGAGTGAATTTGGTCAAAGTATATTTTATATAGAAATATGATGAAATCCCCTTGTCCAATTAATATACTAATAAAAATGTATTATGGCACAAAAAAACAAAAAGAAAACTTCTGTCTGAGAAGATTAAGAGCTCAATGCTTCTGAAGAGAAGGACACAAGCCAAGAACATTTTAAATGCACAATTAACAATGGTAGAGAATGGGCGGTATGGGTGAATGTGTTCCCCAAATTCACATATTAGAAACTTAATCCCCAGGGCAACAGTGTTGGGAAGTGAGGCCTTTTGGGAGGTTTATGGGTCACAAAGGCAGAATCTTCACAAATGGATTAATGGTGTTCCCAAAAGGGCTTGGGGGGAGTGGGTTCTTTGTCTTATGCTATTCTAACACAGTTCCGCCAAGTGGGAACACAACATTCCTTCTCTCCAGAGAATACAACAACAAGCTGCCATCTTGGAACCAAAACCAAACTTGCCAGTTTGGTTTGACTTCCTAGTCTCCAGAACCACCAGAAATAAACGTCTGTTCTTTATAAATTATCCAGTCTAAAATTATTCCTTTACAGCAGCAAAAAGAGACTAGTAGCCTCAGCTTTTGCTTATATAAATATTTTTATGTCCACAATATCATAACATTCTTCCCAGTAGCCATGTGACAACACAGGTGGAAAAGGAAATGGAGGTTCAGAAATGGTAAGAAACCAGCCTTATCAATGCTTAATGAGACTCCAGAGCCTGGGCTCTTTCAAGTTCATCACAAAGTCTCCAGCAAGCCTTCACTGGTTCATGCTTATGAACCTGAAGAGGAAGAGGATATGCAGGCAGAAATGCAAAATACATTCTGCTTTAATACTACAGATAGCCTTGGAAACTCATCTGAGGCAAATGCTGTAACTAATGCACCTATGACCAAAGACAGACATTCTGTGTCTCCTGGAACTGGGCACATGGTAGCAGAGTTTCTGCCTTTTTGATTCCTGGTTCAAGCCAATTTTTGAGAATGGGGGACAGCCTGGAGTAGTGGAGGCGGGGGGCACATCTCCTTCCTGTACTTTCAAATCAATTCTCAAAGTAAATAACCCATCTTTGAATGGAAGCCTTGATTTTGCAGCCCTCTGTTCATGTTGGTAACTTGAGAAGCCCTTTCTCAAGGAGCTACCAGAGCATGAAATGGTTGTATTTATAGAAGTTAAATAAGCAGACCTCTTCTGAGAGGACACAATACCTTACAGGAAATGGGCTGCCTCTATGATGCGAAAACTCCTGACACACCTGGTTATGGAAATATGAACAAAAACATTCATGCACATTCTTGCCTGCCTGCTCACAAGAAAGAGAATTATCAATGAGGGCTAAATAGCTAGTGTCTATTAAGTTGATTTATACTGTGAATCTAGAAAATTCAGTCAAATCCAAAAATATCTTTGATAGAATATGTACTTAAATGTGAATAAACTCAGTCCCTTTAAAAAGAAATGAGGGCTGTACTCTGATACTGGTAGACTTGCAGAATGAGGGTGTTTGCCCTCATTAACCAGGACTCCAGGTTTATATTTTAGACTAAGCAGTGTCTACTCAAAATGCCCTTTTTATTTTGCTTGAACCTCCCCTTCCCATCATCCTTTTGAAAAACTGAATGTAAAGTCTTTGATGGGAAGCTTGCTGGTTTTCTCCCAACCTGGGTTTGACCAGGGGCTATCTCAGGACACAGGAAGACAAATCTAAAGATGCATCTAGATCCTCAAAGGATGGAAATACACACACTGACAAGCACTATTCTGCTGGAACAGAGAAGGGGAGGAGGAAATCAGGTGGGGAGACTCCAGGACTACACAGCAAGACTGCTGGATCCAAATGAGTCACTTTTCCTTTCTGCCACTGCAGGAAATTAAATCTGCCTGCTGCCTCCTCGTAGTTCAACCAAGTGCTCAACCACAACCTTGAAGAGGCAGAATTCTTAGTGAAGAGGGGAATCTCTCTTTCCAACCATGAAATAACTAACAGTCACTCTTACTGTCCTCCAATGTACCCTCCGCAAACAACCTGCGACTAGGCTGCAGTTTAGCAAATGTGTCCTTTGGTACAGAAAGAATGTGTATTTTGTTGCTACAGCTCTTCAGCATCTGTAATTCTTGGCTTATTTCCTGAAAGGCTAGGAAGTCATCTTGGTCTCTGAAGCTTTGAAATGCCAGTAGGCCCCTCCCTGAGCATCCTAGGGCCTGCCCCAGGCCTTCTGCTCCACTGTCCCTCCCCCCCAACAACCCAATAAGCTGATATCCCTCTCTGGCTTTGGGGTCATCTCTGCCTCTGCCTGGGCAGGTGGACAGGGAAGAGCATGGAGGAAGTTCAGGTACAACGCGAAGAACATTAATAGCACCTAGATAGGACCTATTTAATAGCTGCCCTAAATACTAGAAAATGTTTTCCAACAACCCAAGCCCAGCACCAAATTGCTTTGATAACTCTGCCTAAGAGATTCTAAAATAGAAATTTACTTTCTGTGCAATTCAGAGATCTTCTTTTGGGAGTTTAAATACAGGTTTGCTTAACCTTTAAACACAGTTTAAGGATGCTTTTCCAGAAAGCCATCCCTGCCTGGCCGGCCCACCTCACTCACTACTCTGGGCTAGACAGATCTCTGTGCACCCCAAATCCCTCTTTGGAAAACTTTTGTGATCCTTCCAACATTCATTTCAATTACCTAAACGTGAGCTCCTGGACCAGAGGGGAGGAAGTTCGTGTAACTCATTGTGCATTTCGGTAATCCAACACAACAAAGAGTAGCAGCCAAGGAGTGATATGTTTGTTAAGTGAAAAAATCAGGTCATTCTTTAAACAGGTTCAGTTCTAGAAATCCCTTTATAACCAGACAAATCCTGTGGTGTTTCATTCTACAAATAATTCCTAAGATTTGGGAAATAAATCGCATTTTTAAGCTAGAATTTAAAAAGGAGAATAAGTATGGTATCTATTTTTTTAAACCAGGGAGATATAATAAATAATTAATCTTTTCTTAATGGCTGGGAAGAATTTCATGATTGTTGGGATCTGCTGATGGTGTTATAATGAAACATTGATTTGGCCTAAATGGGAGTGTTTCCAGGGAAACGGCAACTCTCAATCATGTCAAATTACAGCCATTATCTCCCTGGGTGTCCGTTTTCCCTGGGAAGCTAATTGAAATTGAAAAAATATCTTTAAGTCAAGTTTGACTTTCTCTTTGGCTTCCTTTGGCTTATCAGACGAGAGAAAGAGACAGAGAAAAGGAGATAGAGGAAAAAGATAAAGCAAATTGAAAACTCTGAAACACACAATCTGTCTGCATTTCAGAGAAAAGCGAAAAGTGAGCCCAGGCTGGTAGCTCTGGAGACTCTTCTTCAGTCTTCAAAACTAGAGCACCCCACCAAGACTCTGGGGTACGGGGGTAGGGAGGATACCTGCGGTTCATCCGGGGCGTGCACGAGTAAAACGTGGCAAAGTAGGAAGGAGGAGGCACAGGTGGCACGAAGTCATCAGGGTCTGGGATCCGGCTGTGGTCTTCCACTTCTTCTGCAGATATCTGGGATTCATCCTATTTAGACAGCACTTCCATTAATCGACAGCTAACTTCACAAAGCACAGGGAGAAAAGTATGGATGACATAACAGGGGCTGGGACTGGCTCAGCCAAAACATGGCATGGTGCCACCTGGCACAGACTTACGATGCAGGACCTTCTGGTAGCAAATATCTGGAGGTAGCGAAGTGCAGCAGCCACCAAGCACACAGTGGTAGTCAGGGCATTCAAGGCACAGAGGGCAAAGAGGACTTTCTGGAACACAGAATCAGTAGCACCCCATTGGAGCCTTCAGTGCACGATGACCCACGTAATATCCAGAACTGTCTTGAAAAAAAAAAAAAAAAAAAAAAAAAAAAAAACAAAAAAAACCAAAAAAAAAAAAAAAAAGTAAAAACAAAAACAAAAAAAAAAAAAAAAAAAAAAAAAAAAAAAAACAAAAACAAAAAAAAAAAAAAAAAATACAACAAAAAAAAAAAAAAAAGAGATAATCTATAACAGCATCCAATGAAGAAAGACCTCATGAAAAGATGCATACAGACAGCACTGGGCTCGTGGAAATTACGGACATAAATGACGGCTATTATTATCACTCTCATGCAAGAGTGAACGTCTTAATTTTAGAAACTTATCTGAGTGCCTGTAATCCCAGCTAACTGAGAGGCTGAAAGGAGGATCATGAGTTCAAAGCCAGCCTGGTCTACACAGTGAGACCCCCATCTCAAAAACAAAATACCCAAAATAACAACAAAGAAACCCAAAAACTTTTAGAAGCTCCCTGTCTCAGAAAGACCTGGCATTACCATACAACTGGCACCCCCATGTCCTCGGGTTCTCTATTTACAGATTCAGCCAACCAAAGATGGAAAATGCTCAGAAAAGTTTATGTTTGAGCTGAATATGTACAGTATAAAATCTGTGCAGACTTTCTTCTTGTCATTTCTCCCTAAATGATATTATAGCAACTACTTACAAAATACTTACATTGTACTAAGTACTATAATAATTTAGAGATGATTTAAGCATATAGGAAGATGTACATAGGTTATGGGACAATACCAAGCCATTTTTTTATAAGGGACTTGGGCACGGCAGATCTTAGTATCCTTGGGGGCCCTGGAGCCAATTCCCCAATGATACTGAGGGAAAACTGCTTTTCATTTTATAAGCATCAGAATACTATATAGAAAGGTTCCTTCCAGGAGAGCAGTAAGGTTCTCTTCCGAAATGTGCGTCCCCAGGGACAGCAGTTCCCATCCTCCAAGTAGGACAGCATAGCATGCTGAATTTGTGACTACTGATTCTATTTCAGGAGCAACTGGCAGTGCCACTCCAGGGACCCAACTAGGATGCAGCAGGGGCCTGGGCAGCTGGAGAGTAAACAGGACTTCTCTCCTCCAAACACAGACCTCAAAATAGCAGCACAGGCAAGTCCAAAAGCTGCTATGACTACAGTCCTGGCTTCTTCACAGGGCTTTCCCCAAGCTAGGTCCTGGCTGCACAAGTTCTGGAATGACTCAGCTCCCAAATATGCAGAAGCCAAAAAAAGTGGACCATTTTAAAGTCTTACCTCCCCCACCGCTGGCAAATTTGAACTCCTCTCTCTGAGATTCCTATCCCCACAAAAATATAAACCCAAAACCAAGACCTAAAGAAAGCCATTAGTGGTGGACTACCCAAAAGCTAATATGTTAGGGTTTACAACTGATTTTGTTATTCACTGGGCCAATGTCCCTTCAGTTAGGACACATTTTTTTTTTTATTCAACTCCCTAAGAAACAAGACTAGTTTTGCATTTCTCTTTAATTGGTATCATTTTTTTGGCTTATTAAAGTTGTTGTCTATTAAATGAAATATAAAGTGCTTGAAGTTCTCCTGTGTTCTCTGCCCAGTCTCCATCCACTGTGTCTCAACAGCATTCAACAAATCCAGACAATTTACTTCTAAGACAAATGAGTACTGGAACGGTGACAAGTGAGCATGCAACTTAAAGGCTTTGCTAAAAGCTACATCACGTATGCAGGTGCATTCAAACGTATTTGTGTGTGTGGGTCTGTACTGGTATTGATAGGTTTCTTTCCATTTTTTGCTACCTTACAATTCTCGAACACAAAATAAGCTCTCCATGCATAATTTTAAGACACACACACACACAGTAATCTGTGGTTCCTTCTACACTCAATTCTGTCTCTGGGTCACTAATGAAGGATCACTCCTAGCTGCTGTCAGCAGTTTAATTATTTGAGGGCAGTAACAGACTAGGGATATTTTAAGTACTGGCCTGGATGGGAGCTCGATGGGGATAGGGGGGATTGGAATCTATCCAACATACCTTTAGTAGAAGGTGAACAGCACTACAAGGCTGAACCGGAAAGAGCTTCAAGGCATTTTCTTTGTCCGTGCATTTGGCTGGTTGATATTCTTCACAACAGAAACAAATCTTGCCTTCACCTAAGTCCACCTTAAGAAGAAACAGGCAGAATAATGATTTAATTTTTTTTTTTTTAAAAAAAGAAAATCCTTGCTATACCACAGAGCACCAATCTTACAAAATGAGATGTGGCAGGGTTTCATGTCAGGCAATGCCTTTGTCAGTCAGGAAAGGTTAAGGTATGCTGCAGTTAACAACCAAAACCAAAATTCCAGTGGCTTAATCAGCAAAGCTTACTTCTTATAGATGCCTCAAGTCCACTGCAGGTCAGCAGAGGGCTCTGCATGCCATATTCCCTCAGGGACCAGACTGGCAGGACATCCACTATATCAATAGCATGGCACAATCAACACGCCAGAGAGCTGGAGAGCCCATGACAAATGGCACACTGCACTTAAACAGGGTTGTCAGATAAAATACAGGATGCCCAATTAAACTTGAATCCAGATAAACAACAGTTATTAAAAATACAAGTGTTCTTCAAACACTGCAGGTTTACAGTAAAAAAAAGTTATTAGCAGTTTATCTGAAATTCAAACTTAATTGAGTATCCAATAATTTTACTTGTTAAATCTGCTCACCCTAGCTGAAATCTTCCTCTTCCAAATGATGCTCATCACTTTAGCTCATAAATTCATTGCCAAAGCAAATCAAATGATTCCATCTAACTCCAGGAAGTCAGGAAAGCCCAATCTACCAGGTGTGTTTAAGCAGCACATGGTATATTTAGTGGACAGTTGCCCTGGACCAGTTCCCATCTTTTATGCACTCACAGATTTGTGTTGTTCTATTTGAAGTGATAATTGATGAATAACCTCAGACGGTTTTAGTTAGATGCTTCCCAAACTTTTGCTCACTTTTCTGAGTTTTTCTTGAGTCAGGTTATGAAAGTATTTAACACCTGGTTTGTTTTGGCAAACAAGACCCATTGTCTGAGGTTTGTTCTTACTTGCTCTGCTGCTCAAGCTATTGAAATTGGCACCTCTGTTTTTCCTAAAAGGAAAGGTTACATTTTTTTCTCTAATCATTAAATTAATCTGGCAGCTCTGACTCCACTAGCTGCAAAACTTTTCAGGAATCTTAAAGAACAACTGAATGGTCACACTATTTCAATTGCCAAATAATAATAATTAAAATTATTTATGTTTAGCTAGTAATAAATTTCATGGTGTTTGGTGAAACTAAGAGAAAACTTGGTTCCTTATAATCCAAGTTCACTAGAACACTAAGGAAAAAATTCTACTATGAATTATATAACATTTGGGGGGATGAGCAGTTCTAGTTTCTTTTTTTGAGGTGAAATTTACATACACACAAAAATTTGTATGTATAGGTCTTTTTGTTTTGGGCAATACTGGGGTTTAAACTCAGGGCCTCATGCTTACTAAGCAGGCCATGGCCCTAGCCCTTTTTGCTTTCAGCTATTTTTTGGATAGAGTCTCATGCTTATTACTCAGGGCCAGCCTCAGATCGCGATCCTCCTACCTATGCCTCCCATGTAGGTGGGATTACAGTTATGTACCACCACACCCAGCCCTGAATATTTTTTGGCAGTACTGCCTATAAATCTTTACTTACTCATTTTTGGTGGGATTGGGGTTTGAATTCAGGGCTTCACATTTGCAAAGCAGGAACTCTACTGCTTGAGCCACACCTCCAGTCCATTTTGTTCTGATTATTTTGGAGATAGGGTTTTGTGAACTATTTGCCCGGGCTGGCCTTGAACCACAATCCTCCTGATCTCAGCCTCCCAGGTATCTAGGATTATAGGTGTGAGCCACCAGCACCTGACTACTGCCTATACCATTTGAGGAGTTTTGAGCAACGCATACACCTGTGCAACCCAACCCCTTATTATAAAGGGCTTTATCGTCTCCAGAGAAAATTCCCTTATGCCCCGTCTCCATCAATCTCTGCCCACACCCTCCCCAAGGCAACCACTGTTCTCACTGCTTACCCACATAGATTAGTTTTGCCTCTTGTAGAGATCTATAGATTCTGTAACACCTTTCTGTTCTTTTTCTTGAAATCACATTAAAAAGGACACATTACTATATCAGGTTTTCATATAAATTCTGCCTCTGGTACAAGGAATGACAACTAGAGTTACCTTGATGGCTCCATCATCACTATAAATTCATCTCCCCATATCTCAGTCCTTTCCTGGTTTGTCTGTAGTGGCTACTAACCTCAACAATGTCCACACCTAGATCCACAGGCCCACATGCAGAGGCACAGGGCTGTCTGTATTAGAATCTTTTCACCATTATCTCACAGTTTTGAAGATACACCTGCTGCTAATATTGACACTAGTTTCTCCCTTCTAAAGGAAAATGGACTAGTTACCAGTGGCTCATGCCTATAATCCTAGCTACTCGGGATACGAGATCGGGAGGATCATGGTTCAAAGCCAGCCCTGGGCAAATAGTTCACAAGACTCTATCTAGAAAAAACTCAGCACAAAAAAAAGGGCCTGCGGAGTGACTCAAGTGGTAGAGCACCTGCCTGGTAAGCATGAGGCCCGGAGTTCAAACCCCAGTACCACCAAAAAACAATAAAGGAAAATGACTCATTCAGACAGGCTCTGTCTAGGCAAGGCCTAGATAGACAGGGCTCTCCTGTGCTCTCAGCATCACTGGGATCTCTTTGCCCCTCTCCCATGATCAAGATCAGCCCTTACACTGAGCTGAAGTCAGCAAGTAAAGACTTCTCAAAGGCCTTCCTCCTTTAAACTCTCCAGCTGAGTTGTTCCTGTGCTCCTTCTAACAACTCTATCTGGCAGTAATGAGTCAGCACTCCTAGACATGACACATTCTGCCTACCTCCCCCACTTTTCCAACATGACTCAGCACAGTTTTTATTTGTGGTCCTTGGTGCAAGCCTCTAGACCTTACCTGAGGCCTCTAATCCCTCAGGTAGTACTAGGTGTCATCTTAACAAAGTACTCCTTTCCCACACAAGACCAAAGTGTTAGTGATGTGAGAACCCAGGCCTGTGTGGGCTGCACACCAACACCAGACATCCAAGTACACAGAAACTTCTGCTATCCAGAAGGAATCTCTGGGGTGAGCCAGAGTAGGTGGCAATATTTTACAGATGAGTGAAAGTTGAATGTCAAGCATTGCGCTCACTGGATACAAGGAAGCCCCAAGGCTCTGCAAAATGACTGTAAACAAAAATGCATTTTGTGTCCCTGTTCCTCCCACTCCTGATCCTCACCAATCTTAGCATCTTCATCTCTCTTCTTAATAGCATCTTTGAGACCAACATTTCTAAAGACTTGTTTTTACTTCCCCTCAATCTTTTTAGTCAATTCTCAAACATCTGAAGAAGTATCCCCAATCTCAAATGGTAAACATCCACTCTCCAACCTTGATTCTATTACCTGTCACACCCTTGCTTCCTCCTGCCGTCTCCTAACACTGTGATTCTCAGCCCTCGCTTGCACATTAGAATTTTCTGGAGAGCTTTTAAAAAATACAACAATGCCATCATTAATCATCAGGGAACTGCAAATTAAATTACAGTAACTCTGAGCTCTACTTTAGCCCTGGCAGACTGGCAGAAAATTAAAGAAACACCTGCTGGTAGAGATATGAGTCACTGGTAAAAAATGAGTTGAAGCTCTTGAGTAAAGGAACTGTCAATTTTAAATTACAAATACTTATTTGCCCCAGCTACTTAAGCAAATTGATTAGCAGTTTCTTATAAAGTTAAACACTTTTACCATATGACCCAGCAATAGCACGTCCAGGTATTTACTCAGGAGAAAGGGAAGCCGGCTCTCCCAGAAGGTCTATACAATAATATGCACTGCAGTTTTATTAATACTTCTTCCTAACTGGAGATAATCCAAGCGCCCGAAATACTATTCTAAAACAAAAAGAAGCAATTGAGACATGAAGGAATCTCAAAAATATTATGCTGAGCAAAATAAACCAGACACTAACATGTGCACGCCATGTGCCTCCATTTATATGAAACTCAAGAACAGGTGGAGCTTACCTGCAGCCAAAGAAGCAGAGGTTGCTCATGACAGTACAGACTGCCTGAAAAGGGACACCAGTGAATTTCCGAGGGTTCAAAAATATTCTGGTACTTGTTTGTTTGGGTGTCACATGGGTGTATATATTTGTCAAGATGAGTGTATATGTTGGTTAAAAAAAAAAACCTCACAATAAGAAAGTAAGTATATTGTAAAAATGCACAATAAGATCTGGGTATGTCACTGTAAATTTTACCTCAATTTTTAAAAAATGAGTATAGTCATAAAGGTGGTAGAATTTATAACAATAACAAAGGAGAAAAACAGAAGAAAAGGCATACTGCAACAAACAATTCCTGGTTCGGGGTGCCTACCCCCAGGACTGAAAGTCCCCTGGGGATATGCAGAATGGTATTACAGCAGCCTTGTGTCTACTGGCATAAACCCAAGCCACAACAACAGCAAAATAAACAGCTGACTTGACAAAAAACAAATTTTTAAAGGGTGCTCAATTTAGATCTGTATCTATCTTCAAGTGAGAAAAACAAGATGCAGGGAGTGTATGTAATATATCCCATTCTTTAAAAATCATGAATAACCCCACCCTGAGCAAGTTTGTGTAAGATTATGAAAGGAAATTCTCCAGCTTAAAACCATTGTTTTAAGGAGACTTATGTGAGTGGAGAGGAGCGCACTCTTCCCCCAAAAGATGTAGTTTGTGTGTTAGTCTGCCTTCTGTTGCTGTAACAAAATACCTGAGAAAGACAACTTAAAGAAGGAAAGGTTTGGGCTCAGAGTTTCAGAGGTTTTAGTCCATGGCCAACTGGCTCCATTGTTTTTAGGTCTATGGTGAGGCAGAATATCATGGTGGGGAGTATGTGATAGAACAAGGCTGCTTACCTCATGATGGCAAGGAAGCAGAGACAGAGAGAGGAAGGGACCTGGGACAAAATATATACCCTCCAAGGGCATGCCCCCAGTGACATACTCCCTCCAACTAAGCTCCACCTACTGAAGTTTCCGTCACCTCCTAACAGTCCATTAACTTGTGACTCCATCAATGGGTTGATCCAATCACCTTCCACAGCCCCATCTCTAAACACTGCTAATCAGGGACCAAGCCTTCAACGCGAGCCTCTAGGGGACATTTCACCTGCAAACCATAACAATTTGTCACTAGTCTTTCTCATGAGGGACAGCAATTACGATATGAATCTGTTGATGGGAAATTATGTGCATTTTTGTACACGAGATTGTAATGCTGGGGGAGCGGCTCAAGTGGTAGAGAACCTCCCTAGCAAGTGTGAGACCCTGAGCTCAATCCCAGTACTGCCAAAAAAATTAAAAAGAGAGCGAGTAATTGCAGAACATAGTGGTCAACTGTGCTACCCTAGAATAGTGGGATTACACATGATTCTTAAGTGCTAGCCTACATTTCCATGACTTGTCCAAACTTTCACAATTATACAATCAGAAATAATCAGAGTTGATCTCATAGAGAAGAAATATTTTAATTTGTTTTTTTCTGAGACATGGTTTTAGGATGCCCCAAACTGACCTCAAATTCTATATCCTCCTGCCTCAGACTCTCAACTGCTGGGATCACAGGAGTGCACCACTATGCTCAGTTTGTGGCAGGAATTTTTAAATTAAAAATATACTTAATGCAAAGCATATATCTGAGAAGGGGTTAATATGGAAAACATATAAAGAATTTCTAAAACTCAACAGTAAACCAAAGAACCCAACTAAAAAAATGGGCAGAGGACTTGAATAGAAATTCCACCCTCCCCAAAAAAAACCCAGCAATACAAATGGCCAAAAAGCACATGAAAAGAGGCTCAGTATCATTAATCAGCAGTGAAATGCAAATCAAAATTGCAATGAGCTATCACTCAAAATCTCTAGGATAACCACTATCAAAAAAAAAGCAGCAGCAGAGAAAAGAAAACAAGTGCTGGTAGACATGTGAAGAAACTGGCATCCTTGTATACTGCTAGTAGGAATGTCAAATGATGCAGCCATGTTAGAAAATAACATGAAGCTTCCTCAAAAAATTAAAGAAAGGCCAGACACCGGTGGCTCCTGCCTGTAATCCTAGCTACTCAGGAGGCAGAGATCAGAAGGATCTTGGTTCAAAGCCAGCCCGGGAAAATAGTTCACAAGACCCTAGTTCGAAAAAAACCCATCACAAAAAAGTGCTGGTGGAGTGGTGCAAGTGGTAGAGCGCCTGCCTAGCAAGCATAAGGCTCTGAGTTCAAACCCCAGTACCATCAAAAAAAATTAAAAAATCAAAAAATTAAAGAGAATTACTATATGATCCAGTAATCCCCTTCTGGATATATATCCAAAAGAATAGAAATCAGGATTTCAAAAGGATATTTTCACACCAATGTCACCAAAGCATTATTCACGATAACCAAGAGATAGAATCAACTTAAACATCCATCAACAGATGATGGATAAACAAAATTTGCCACATGCCTCCAAAAAATATTATTCAGTCTTAAAAATACAGGAAATTCTGACACATGGTACAACTGCTGACTTGTCTTTCCATATATCATCACTTATCTTTCCTCTTTGCCATTCTAATTTGTCATGCACTTAGTAAGTGGAAATCCAGACTTTGTCAAAAATTTTTTTTTCTGGGGATTGCCTATACATAAAAAAGCACTGTGGGGTTACTAGAAACCCCTGAGGTAAAGGAGAACTCAGTATGTCCTCAAGGAAGACTCCAGACCAAAAGAAGAGACAGGTATTTGAATATCTTTAGCTCAAAAAGAGAAGGATAAATGTCTAAGAACTGCAGAATATTCCAGAAGATTAACTTTGCAGGGGATCAGGAATTACTTCCTGAAGGAGACAGTCCTTAAATGGAACTTTAAAAGACCGAGAGCATTTGAACAAACAGGGAAGTGAGGGAAGGAAATTCTTGAGTTGAGGGACAAATAGCATTGTTAGAAATAAGAAAGCAGTTCAGAGCCAGGCATGGTATTGCACACTTGTAGTCCTAGCACCAGACAGGACAATTGCTTCTCTCAGGGGTTCAAGACTGCCCTAGGCAACACAGTGAGCATGGCAACATCCCCCATCATGAAACCAACAGCTCTTGCACGTGAGGCCTACACACCATCAGTGCTGATGCCCTATTCCTAGTGAGCCCCAAGATGGTCCAGCACATTTGCGAGTATTTAACACCAATGTTGGCAGGAGGCAGAAAAATAGCCTTTGCCATCACTGCCACTGAGGGAGCGAGGAGAAGACAGGCTCCTGTGATGTTGGAGAAAGACACTGAGCTCACCAAGAGGGCCGGAGAACTCAGTGAGGAGAAGGTGGAACGTGTGATCACCATCACGCAGAGCCTACGTTAGTACAAGATTCCAGACTGGCTCTTGAACAAGAAGGATGGAAATGATGGAAAACATAGCCAGAAGGCTGGGATGTAGCTCGGTGGTACAGCACTTGCCTAGCATGTGTGAGGCCCTGGGTTCGATCCCAGCACCAAAAAAGAAAAGACAAAAAAAAAAAAAAAAAGAAAATACTGCCAGGTTCTGCCCAAACTCCATGAGGATCTGGAGCTACTGAAGAAGACTAGAGCCCATGGAGGGCTGCCCAACTTCTGGGGCCTTTGTGTCTGAGGCTGGCACACCAAGACCACTGTGGGTCTGTCCAAGAAGAAACGAGTTTGTTAATAAATAGTTTATATACCTGTGGCTACAAACAAAAAGCAGAGATGAATCCTGGGAAATAACATGTGGGCTTTGGCTCAATTACAGGGTGTGTGTGCTGCTCCAGGGCAAGGGCAGGGTAAGGCCAACTCACATAAGGCCTTAGAATCCGGAAAAGTGATTTGATCCTATAGCTGAAGGTCATTAAGCAATGAAATGGCAAAACTAAAAAAAAATTTGTGAAGAACTGTGAGAAAGAGCAACCAGTTTTTAGCGAGTCCCTGAGGCATTTTCCTGCCTGGGGAGGTCATGGCTTTCATTGCAAGGGCTGAGGGCAGTGTCTCTAGAAATATGGCAGCCTCTTGGCTTGTATCCTGTGGTTTCCTAGCAAATGAGAGTGCCATGGAAACGAGTTTCATTCCAAATAAATGAGATTTAGTACAGCTTCTAAAGAGTTCATTCCTTGTGCTTTGTGGTAAGGGAGACGTTGGTTACTAAGATGTCCTTTTAAAAAGTTCAAATATGGCCAGTGATTCCACTTTGGGGTATTATAGCCAAAAGAAGTGAGAGCAGAGTCTAGAAGAGATATTTTTATACTCATGGCCATAGCTGCTTTATACACAATAGACAAAAGGTGGAAAGAGCCCAAGGGCCCATCCTCCAGATGAATGGATAAACAAAATGTGTCATACTTTCATACAATGGAGTGTTATTTTATATCCATGTCTTTTTTTTTTTTTTTTTTTTGGGCAGCACTGGGGTTTGAACTCAGGGCCTCATGCTTGCTAGGCAGGCACTCCTACCGCTTGAGCCACTCCACCAGCCCCTGGAGTATTATTTTAAAAAGAGAGGGAGAGAGAGAATTTTGACACATACTACAACATGGATATGCCTTGAGGACATTATACTAAGTGAAGAAACAAGTCACTCGTGGAAAGATAAGTGCTGTATGGTTGCACTTACATGAGGTACTAAGAATATTTGAACTCATAAAGATGGAAAGTGGAACAGTGGTTTCTGGAGGGGAAGAGGCAGCTGGGGTGTTGTTTTATAAGATGGAGAGTTCTGGACGCTGCACAGCAAAGTGAAAGCACACACTACTCAACTGCATACCTAAAACGGTTAGGATGGTCAATTTTATGTGCATTTTACCACAATTTAATTTTTTTTTTAAGTCAGAGGTGCTTGCTACAGATCTGAAACTTCTGAAAACCAAACGCCTTGATTCCTGCCTGCAGTCCCAGACTCCACTGGCATACCACGTAACAAAAGATGTGCGCACCATATTGATCTTCCAAAATTGGAAAATCTCTAAGCGCTGACACACACCTGGCTTCCCAAGCTTTCAGGTAAAGGATTGTTGACCTGTAATATCCAGTTTTTGTCTTCAGATGAAGGCAGACAGCAATTGACTATGTAGACCTGACCATCTACTCACTAACTAATGATGCCTCTCACAACTATGATGCTGGGGTTACACTGGCTGGTTGCAGTTTGGGGAACAATAACTGACAACCAAGTGAAATAATGAGAGGGCAGCCCTTTGCTCTGTTTTCCCACTTCCTTTTACCAACTTCGAGTTCACTCTAGGACAGCTGCAAGGTCCTGCATGTCGCACAATACACCAGGAAGGCACGCACACCAGGCTCTGCCCCACGCGAGTGATGTTTAGGACTGCTTACCAGGTCACACCTGGGCACGCTGGACACAAACTGCGCCCCTTGGCAGCCCAGGATGAATCCTGCGAGATTTAGGAGGACACACACCACAGAAAGCAGCACAAAGAGATTCACCTGAAATGATAAGAAGATGGGCAGTTAGAAAGAGACTCAATTCAGAGATAGTTTTGTGTGAATTTTTTTTAAAAATGATATTCTCTTCCAAGAGGAAACTTTTTAAAAATTCAAAACTATGTTTTTATCATCTTTTTCACATGTTAGAATCTTTCAAATTGTTCTAAGGAATTTCATTGACTCTCAAGTCTTCTCAATAATCTCAAGTCCCTATTTTTTTCTTTCTTTTTTTTTTTTTTTTTGCAAATATTTCTTTCTCTTTTTTCTTTTATCCATAGCTATTTCCTATTTAAGCCATTCTGGTTATCCCTGAGTTTTGCTGGATGAATACAACAAGCAGACAAATGGAGAACTCTGGAATCTAAGTGAAAATCAATTAAGTCAAATCACCAGAAATCACGGTATACAGATGAAAATAAAGATGGGTCTTTCTTTTCAGTTCAGGCTTTTTTCCAAAATTAAAAATACTACTACTTCAAATAATTAAGAACTGAGAGACATCAACCAGTATTTACTTGGTACAAATTAAAGACTACCCAGGTCTTTCAACTTGGAACTGTGATTATTATGAAAATCAGACCTTAAATACAAAAGCAAATATAAAAGAGTAAAGCCAATAATTATCAATTATTAAAACAAGTCATTAATTCAGGTAGCTGACAATGTCAGCTGACTGGCAAATGAATTCACATGCAAAATTCTAACACAGAAAACTTACTTTTTGACTACTGTGGTAATTCCATGTCAAGCTGGAAAACACCTCCCAGGATGCAATTTGTGAGTCAATATTTAATACAACATCATGCCACTTTCCTAAGGGGAATTCCTCCTGCCTCTCCAAGGGCAGCCGGCCATCTCTCCTTTCTGCTAATCTGCACCTGCCCTTTCATCAGATCTTTGGGAAACATTGGCAGCAGCTGCTACTGTGACTGTTCCCCAGGCTGATTCCTCAGTGTCTACAGGACTTTGATTTGGACAGCATACTGCTTACGTCCCCTCTTGTATGGTATTATCCATGATTATGCCAAAGTGTTTGGGAAGAGGGCTGCATGACTGGCAAAGGACAGAGCATGATCTTCAACTTTTTTTGGCAGCACTGGGGTTTGAACTCAGCCTCACGTTTGCTAGACAGATGCTCTACCGCTTGAGCCACTCCACCAGCCCAGACAGGGCTTGATCTTCCCACATGGACTTGTACATACTGCCAGTTGCTATTTGAGGACACCCAATACATACGGAATTTTCACACCCAGCAGTGCAATTGGTGTTATTACAAGGAAGTTTTGAACTTCACTTTGGCAATGTTCCTTTACTGCATTATGAGATAACTTGAAAAGAAAATGTGGTAGTGATCCTTATATGCCCACCAGCACACCACTAATCGTCATAACTAAAACTACCATCATCACATAGGAAATGAGTGAGGGTTCAATAACTCCTAACACTGCGTTCCCAGATCTCTTCATAAAACCTTAACTCTAGCTCATGAAAAGACATAATTAATAACGTCAAAAGGCATGCCACAGACTAGGAGAAAATATTTTCCTGCATATACTGAACAAAGAACCTATACTAAGAATAGCAAATAACTTCTCAGCTCATAATAAAAACACAATCAACCCAATTAAAGACTTTGGAAAAAAAAACATGGACAGCTATTTCACCAAAAAATAAAAAAAGATACAGGAATGGCCAATAAGCACATGAAAAGATGCTCACCATTATTAGTCATCATGAAAGCAAATTAAAACCATGAGATTCCACTTCAAACCGAGAATGGTTAAAATTTAAAAGCTGGTGAGGATGAGGAGCACTCGGACTCTCAGACATTGTGACTGTGAGAAGAAAATGGCACAATCTTTAGAAAACTGCCAGATCCTTAAAAATTAAGAAACTATGCAAGAGTATGCCAAATAATTCCAAATAATGGAGCTACTTCACCTTCAATTCCCTACACCTTAAATGTGAGCTGCACAAGGTGACTTCCTTCCAAAGAATACACGAAGGGAGGGAAGTAACTTTGCAGAGGAGAAAACTGACAGACACTGCATCCACCAGGTGACGAGGTTCGCATCACGGATGGGTCATGCCAGTGGCTCATGCTCAGATGTAATGGAAATAGCACTTAGCCGCAGCAGTCTCCTGTCCCCTCAACCCCATAATAATCTCAGTCTAATCATGAGAAGCACATCAGACAATTCTAATTGAGGGACATCATACAAAATACCTGATGAGCACTCTTCAAATCTGTCAAGATCATCACTGAGAAACTGCCACAGCCAAGAACCAAAGCCTACATGACAACTAAATGCAATGTAGTGTCCCAGATGGGACTGTGGATAGAAAAGGGACAGTAGCTAAAAACTAGAGAAATATGAAGACTGTAGTCTTTAGTTGGCAATATGTTATCAATACTGGTTCAGCAGCTGTGATGAATGTACCATACTAAAGTAAGAGACCAATAACAGAAAACATATGATTCCCTTTATGTTCTATCTTCGCCATTTTTAAAAATCCAAGCAATTCTCAACTACAAATTTTATTTTGTAATGCAATAAAGTGAACATACAATGCAATATATTCAAAGAATGGAATACATCCAGCAATAAAAAGGAACAAACTACTAATGCAAAACAACAGCATGAAGGTCAAATGTTACACTGAGCAAAATAAGCCAGATGCTACATGCCTCACTGACAAAAAGTTCGTGAATAGATAAAACAATCTATTGAGAAAGAAATTAGGATAATGATTACCCATTTGGTGGGGAGGGAGAACACTGACTGGGAGGAGACACAAGGGAATTTTCAGGAGTGATAAAAATGTTGTACATCTTGTCTTGGGTGGTGCTCATATGGCTGATTCCAGCTGTCAACACTTAGCTAACAGAAAGTCAGTCATGGTGATGCACACCTGTAATCCCAGCACTCTAGAGGCAGAGGGATCACAAGTTGGAGGCCAACCCGGGCTACATAGCAAGACTTTCTCTCAAAAAAAAAAAAAATTTTTTTTAAACCAAACAAACAAAAATTTCAGCTAACTAATCATTTACATCCGGGATCTCACCAAATCTAATTTATACTTACTATAATAAAAACAGAGAGAATTCTGGATCCAACTACCAAAGCAGGAGTATCAGATCATACAATGATCTATTTGTAAAATGTGTGCATGACAAACAAGATGAAAGAGCACGCAGGGTTCCCTCCTGCACCTGAGGAACTGCCGGTGACAGTCAAGTCACATGATCAGAAGGCCATCTGCAAATCCCAGAATCCTTGAGGAGCTGGGCCATGGCAACAGACTGTATACAAAAGTGCTATGTACCGTTCCTCAAATTTATGCCTACATAGGACATTATTATTAATAATAATTTAATAATTATTAATATTTAATTTGATGATTATTAATAATATTTAATACTAATTATTAAAAACTCTGGTCAAACGTTTTAGCCAAATGGTCAACTCTGTAGTCAAATGTAGACCAGTGTGGCATACATCAGGCATTTGAGCTGTGAGGACACTATTTCAGAGGCTGGATCAGATCCCAAGGTACAAACTGTTAGAGTTATAAGGAATACACACAGGGTTCACAGGGGACGTTCAGGATGGACCCTTCCAGCTTCGATCTGCTTATGACAGAATGACTTCCAAGACCTGGCTTTCCATCCCAACCTTCCCTGAATGCTATCCCACAAACAGGACAAGAAAACACCAGCTGCTAATGACAATCATCATAGTCACAAAGCCCACACAGCAATGTCTACAGAGAGGAAGAATCTCTTATGCTTCTTATATTATTATTCTTACTTGAAAAAAAAATCATTGTGGGCGATTTGAGTTTTTCTTTGTGGACAGCAACTACAATTTGGAACCAGGTGACCTGGCTTTTCTACTTACTTGTTGTGATATGCTAGGCAACTTTTGGGAGACTCACTTTTCTCATCCATCAAGTAGGTCTATCTTCTTATCTACCTCAAAAGATGACTGTGATAATACCATACCATACTATGATACACAAATTGATATATTTGAAAGTCCTTTTTCAAGTGCAAAATACTACACAAAGCATCTTATTAATAATAGTAAGGGGCATTTCTACTTTGGGGGATGCAGCTTGTTAATACAAAATGAGTTTCACAAAATGAATTTCAGTAGGTCTGGTACTGGTATCAGCATTTCAGTCTTTTGCTGATGACATACCTGAGTGTAAGGCAGCTAGCTGGAAAGGATACTCAAGCTATAAGAATAATCTGCAGATGTACTGACTCCAAAACTTCTCCTCGGTTCTTGGAGCTCACGCACACTGGGCCACAGACATTAGTGTGGGCATCTTTCTGGTGTTTGGCCAGCTCTGCTCACAGCCCTTCCCTCCTCCTCTCCACCCACAGGAGGCCGCCTGTGCAGAACGAATCCTGAGCCTTCTTTGCCCTTGAGGGAGGGAGGCAAGGAGGCTGGGGAATTAGTTTTTCTGTGAGCTCCTTCTCTGTGGCTTCTGCCAGCTGTGCCCCCAGTGGCAAGTCACAGGCCCTCTCTCATCCTCTGCGTGACTCTGATTTTGATTGTGGCCACCACTCTCTCCTGCCAGGCTTTGGGAAGGTTAACAGCTTCCCTGCCCCCACATCCCGCACATACCTTTGGGAAGTGTCCTTCTGTTAACCTTATGTCAAATTATAACGGCATTGCGCCATCTGTTTTCTGCTGGGAGCCTGACTTATTCCACTTCTTGACAAAATTTTTCTCACATTTATTTCCAGTCTTTAAGCCCAGTTCCTTGCCTCAAAGAAAACATCACACCATCACCTGCCTCATGACATGAACACCACCAGTTATCATTCCTGAATTCTACTGAGGCCAATCAATCCATCCTCAGAAGTTGTGCTCCAGGAACAGAAAAGCCCAGGGAAGAAGAAATGTCTTTCGAACTTATATTTTAGACAGTGAGGCACAGAGGGAGTCAGAGGGGAGGGCTCACCCACATCACCAAGGGGAATTTTT